GCACCGCACCCGCACCCGCACCCGCACCAGCACCATCACAGACGACGACGACAGAGACGAGGACAACTACGATTGTTTCTACAGCTGTTGATGGGGGAAATCCTGCACCAGCCTAAGTATTTAGAGCTTCGCCGCACTTTGTCTACTCGCCTTGGCGAGTGCCCCGCACCCCCTGCTCCCCTGACGGAACCCTTGCACAAGGCATGTTGTTGACAAGTTGGCAATATGAAAAGTGGTGTTGTGGGGTAATTACCGGTGATGGTCGATGTCATGAGTCGGCGCCTGGGTTGCAAGATCTCCTCCATCAAACGAATCAGTACGACGAGGACGATGACGACGACGACGACCATTTTCCACAACAGCATAACCGCAACTTCCACTGCTAGTACCTCTGCCCCCACAGCTCCAGCACTGCCACTTGCGTGCGCCGCAGCGTTTTCCGGCAAAGCCGGGGCTGGGTCTTCGGCTTTAGGCATGGGCAGCGTGGACCGGTGCGATAGCCTCAACTCGAAGGAGTCCGAGGAATATGGAAGCGTGGCAAAGAGTGACAGCCTCCAGTCAGAGGCCACTGCCACAGCCACAGGCCTTGGCATAGACAAGGTTGAGAGTCTCTGTTCCCTCGACAGCTTGCCAACCACTCTGGATCCCGAGTTGATCCAAGGGGTCCCTTTGAGTGCCTTGTCTGCAGCTCTGACAAAGGGTGCAGAGCCTCCTGCCAAATCTTCTGGTAGTATAGATTTTTAAATCTAGCTTCGTAGAGTATGTTATATCCGAAAGCGCTCCCAAACACGGACACGGTTCCTCGCTACCCTTAATATAGGGGCGAAAATAATTTCAATTATTTGGGGCCCCGAAGAATTGAAATAATTGAAATCGGCCCCATTTCAATTATTACCTATACTATTTTGGGGGGGCTCGTAAGTGCCCTGAGACACCGGAGACCCCAAAGGCAAAGCCTTTCATGGAAGCTTGGTAGCATCCGTAAAGGAGCCCTTAAGTAACCCCCAACCCAATATAATACCCTCAATGTCCGAGTCCTTAAATTATGGAACCCTCATTTTCTGGCCTTGAGGGAGACTTTAAAAGGAACCCACAACCCTGAATCCAAGGTGTCTGCCTCTCCGGATGGGGGAAGTTCTGGGCCGCCGCGACACCGGCGCCAGTTGACAAGAGGACCGGAAACCCTAAACCCGGAACCCTAACAAAACCCTAAACCCTAAACCCTGAGGCAAAAGCCTCAGGGTTTAGGGGTCTCTCATGAAATTCAGGTTGAGGGCTCAGGGATTAGGGTCCCGGGGATGTCGAGCGTTTAGCAGTTTAGGGGGTTTTTAGGGGTCTCTTAAAAGGGTCTCCATAGGGGGTTGTAGGAGATTTGTACATAGGCTGTCAAAAACTGCCGTGGGGGTTTGGGGCTTCAGGATTTCGGGTCTTGGGCCCAAACGCGTTACTGGATCTGTTTCAGTAGTGGCTAGTTTCCCAAACTCTAAAGCCCTGAGCCCTGAAGGTTTGTGCTCCTCCCTAGACCCGACAAGTCCTACCCCCTACTACGGGGTTGTGTCTTCCCTGAGCCTGAAACCCTAAACCCTAAACCCTAAACTCTAAACCTTCCACCCTAAACCCTAAACCCTAAACCCTAAACCCTAAACTGTACACGCACTTTCGAGCAGCCTGCTAAGTGACTGACTGCAAGGCTCTGATGCCGGGAGCCGTTCCGGAAAATCCCAAGGTTAGGTAGTATTATTAGGGGTACCCCTTAAAGGGTACCCCTTCTGAACCCTACTTTTGGCTCTCTTAAAAGGGACCTTATTGAAAGGGTCTATATCCACAAGGGTCCCCGTAATCCTAACTCCCAAAGGTGTAGGGAAAGGTTGTGACCCTAAGCCGAACGTCTTGGGTTTGGTATGTGCCGCCCGAGAAGGACATGGAATACTATATGGGAAACTGTCCAAATCATGGTCCGTTTGGGAACCCTACATAGTTCTACTCTTAATACGGCACCTTTTCGTTTGGAAAATCAAAAGAGGGCTTAATTTGCACACATATATGCATTTTTTGTTTTCTTAAACTTGTTTATTTGCTTATGTTTGTGCTACAAGTTGCAGTACATTTTAAAGTATCTGCTCTTTAATGTTATATTAGATTCTATATTGTATTCTATGTTTTTTGCAGTTCATGTTCTACTTTTATATATTGCATTATATCTTAAGCCCTTCATTTCAGACTTGGTTATTGTATATTGTGCTGTATTCTCTCTCCCTCTCACTCTCTCCCCGCTGTCTCCCCCTCTATCATAGACATGTATAATAAATATGTTGTAGTTCATGGTATCAGTGTCTGTTGTATTTCATCGTGTTGTATTATATTATATATTATATTGTACCATATTGAACTAGTTTTGTACTAGTCTTATATTGCTTCAACATGGTGCTATTCTACAATACCTCGTAGTATGTAGCTTTAGCTTGTATTATATTATGTTATATGTTGTATGATGTCATTATATCAGGTCAGGTTATGCCTTCGTATTAGTTGTATAAAATATTATGTTATGTTACATTCTATGACGGTACAATGTATCACAGTTATATTGGCTTGTATTATGTTGCGCTATACTATGGTATATTGGTAGTATGTTATGTGGCATGAGATAGTATCTTTAAAGATGTTGTCTTATATGGTGTTACATTGCATTGCGTGGTATTGTACTGTATTAGACTAATTATATTGCATCGTATAAGATAGTAATACATATACTGTATATGAAGTTATAGGGGTTGTATCATTCGAAAGGGTACTTGTGTATGTTCTACTATACTACACCATAACTCTAGGACATTTTCAGGTGGGTAGTTACCGTTATAGGAGCCTTCTAGAAGGTCTATATACTTTATGGAGGCCTTATAGAAGCCCTATATACCCTAAACTCCCCACCTGTAGTTTACCTTAATCATGGGAACTGACAAAACACTAAACCCCTAAACCCTAAACCCTAAACCCTAAACCCTAACGCACTGTATTTGCTTGGTGAGCCTCAGGCTGAGCAGGCGGACCGCCTTTTATGACACCTTCCTCAGCCACGACTGGCGGACTCCGCGCTGGCTGAAGTTTATCGCGGCTCTACTGCCCTTCATTGGGGTTCGGGGTTTAGGGTTTAGGGTTTAGGGTTAAGGGGGTTGGTTCGAACTTTTCAGGGTGCTCTGGTTCTTGCGATTTTTCTCCGAAGCTGCCGGAGCCGTCGAAACTTGCAAAGCTTTCGGGAGGTCGTTCCGGGTGCTAGGCTGAAGCGATGTTTCCATCCTCAGAATGGCTCAGGGACTTCCAGGGCCTCATGGGCACATATCATATACTACGTGTAACATATTGGGTATGGTTCATTCTATGTTATATAAATATATCATAAGCTATATTACATATTATATATGTATATATATATATATATATATAAATATACATGGTTTTCAAATGGTTCTTTAGGACCTTTGATGGGAAACGTTTACTCGAAGGCGTGGATCTTCTGGAGGAGCTGGATTCTTAATCCGAAAGCCCAAAAAGCCTGGACTCTTGCACCAAGGTTTCGGGTTTAGGGTTTAGGGAAGAAGGCAAACCCTAAACCCTACCCAAACCCGAAACCCTAAACGCTAAACAAAGGTTAACTCCCTCAAAAAAGGAGTCTTGAACCCTCGACCCTAACTCCCAACTCCAAGAACCCTAAACCCTAAACCCTAAACCCTAAACCCTACCTCCCAACTCCAAGACTGACTCCTGAAGGAAACCTGGAATCCCAGAGCACTTTGGCACAGCCCCGAAGATCAGATCCTCAACGCAAGCCTGTCCATGGAAAGCCTGCCACATCTGTGGTTTGGGGTTCAGGGTTTAGGGTATCTGCATCTATTTCGACATCAAGCTGTAGACATATATGGATCTACCTGTATCTCTGAGCCCTAAACCCTAAACCCTACAATGCATGTACTAGTACCCTCCTCTCTGCACCTGGCAGATGCCTAACATGAGCCCAGGGCTGCGGGGCATGGCACCCTGTCGCAACCCAAGCCATGGCACTTTCAAACGGGGTTTACGGGTTTAGGGGTTGGTTTCGGGTTTAGGGTTTCGGGTTATTTAGGGTTTAGGATTTGAGGGTTTAGGGTTTAGGAATTAGGGTTTAGGGTCTAGGATTTGAGGGTTTAGGCTTTAGGATTTGAGGGTTTAGGGCTTAGGACTTGGGGTTTAGGGCTTAGGGCGTATAGGGTGTAGGATTTAGGGTTTAGGGTTTGGGGTTTAGGGCGTCCTGTCAGTCACCTATAGGCTCACACCCTACCCCTTTCTTAGGGTACCTAGTTCTATAGCTGGAATCTGTCAAAATAGATCCTAAAAAGGGGGTAGGCTGTATATGAGCCTCTAGGTAGTGTCCATGGCATCATATAGTATACAATATACTTTGGCCCTAAAGTAGTCCCGACATAGGTACTTTGGGGCCAGGCACATGGACCCTTAGGGCACAAGAACCCCTATAGAAACCCTCATAGATCCCTGTAAGGAACCCTAAAAGGGATCCTAATTTATCAGGATAACTTTTGGGGTTCGTTTTAGAGAACTGACTTAGACCCTAAATGCCTCATGGCACATGGAGCCTTAGTATAACAGTGTTTAGTGTTTGGGGTTCTTTCAAGGATTCCTTATAGCCCCTTATAAAACCTCATAGAACCCGTCTAGTAACTGTGCAACCTTTAGAACCTCTTTGAAACCCTCAAAGAGAGCGCTCAGAAATAAAGCCCTAAACCCTAAACCCCAAACCCCTAAACCCTAAACCTCTTATAAAGCTTTAAAGCCTTCGAAGCCCTGATGCATCGCAGCAAGGGGCCCCAGCTACCGCGGGACTGTGTCGTGGATGCAGAGCGCTTGCTTCATCAGCTTCAGGCCAGGCCAAAGACGCTACAATGTGGCAACTGTTGATAACCGACTGCATGGTTAGGATCCTATACAATACAACGGCTAGGGATTTCTGAGATGGTCGAAAAGAGCAAGGTATTTCGGGACCTGGACGTTGGTTGGATGTAATGGAGTACAGTCGATTTGCCCGTATGTTATGAATTTTGGAACTTGGACTATTTGGGTTTGAGTATCACGTGCCTCTAGGGGTGATGAAGGTAGGTAGTATTCTGTATGCTTATGTGCATGTATATGTTACTACTAGATATCTATATATGTATACAAATATATACATATATATTTATATCTACATACGTGTAGATATTTATATAGGAGCTCTTTGATGTGGGATTTCCCCAGCAATTCTCATCCCGCCTGTGGAACCCGTTGAGATTTGGACGTGCCGGTTTGAGTTCGGGCAGGGCTTCAGTGTTGATTTCAGGTCTCAGGAGTGAGCATCTAGCTACTTCATGGTGTTCGGATGTGTATCTAGAATGTGAATATGTGCGGACTTGAACAGTTCGAGAAAGGCATCACACGAATACACAGAAGTTCCTATAAACATAACCTGTCAAGCCAGTCTCTCTGTCTCTCTCCCACACACCTGCGTAGATACGTACATATATACATACGTACTCATACGCATTCGCATCCGCATACGCATGTACGGATTCGCATGGACATACACATGTGTGTCATTCTTGCATGCATGTACACAGTCATGGAAAACCCTAAGCCCTAAACCCCTAAACCCTTAAACCCTAAACCCTAAAGCCCTAAACCTTAAACCCCTAAACCCTCAACCCTGAACCCCTAAACCCCTAAAGCCAAAAAAACCCTAAGCCCTCAACCCGACCCTGCAGGTCACGTGTCCGCACAAGATGACCTACTGGCAGCGAGCACACCTAGCCATCCTTCGCCTCTTCGCGTCCCACTACCTCAGGCGGAAGGACTGTAGTACTGTAGGGGCCTTAAGGGGGATTTAGGGTTTGGGGGTTTATAAGGTTTAGGGTTTAGGGGTTTAGAGGGTTTAGGGTTTGGGTGTTAAGGGTCTAGGGTTCAGGGGTTTAAGGGTTTCGGGGTTTGGGGTTTAGTAGGTTGGGGGTTTAAGGTTTAGGGTTTAGCGGTTTAAGGGTTTAGGGTTTAGAGGTTTAGGGGTTTAGGGGTTAGGGTTCTACCTTAGGAGCCTGAATCATTGCCAATACTATTCTTGGAATTAATTCCTTAATATTTTAGTTGTAGTATATTTATTAATATATATATATATATACACACACCAAAGCCCTGTTCTGTTTTTTTCAGGCTTCTACATTAGCGTTAAGAGTTAGTTGAGTAGATTCCTTCAAGGGCTCCATATTTTTTGGGGGGTTTGCAAGGTTTAGGCTGTAGGGGTTAACTACTCATGTAACGGTTAAAGTATGTTAAAGTGAAGTGCCCTAAACCCTAAACCCTAAACCCTGAACCCTAAACCCTAAACCCTAAACCCTAAACCCTAAACCTCGGGTTTCTGTATCAGCAGGAATTATTTACTGCCTGAGGCGCAAACTCTTAGACTTCACCCCAGGGCCCCAAGTACCCAACAGGGCGCTATACTGGTTCAAAAGGGATCTTTTCTAGGGTTTTAGGGTTTAGGGTTTAGGGTTTAGGGTCTAGGGTTTAGGGTTGTTTCCTGAGTTCAGGGTATAGGGTTTCTGGTTTTGGGTTTTGGGTTTAGGGCTTGAGGGATGAGTGCAACGTGAAGTTCCGTTATTCGCAAGTACTCTCCGGCGTCAACCTTTTTTGACATTTTCCCCTAGGTGTTAAGCCCTGAACCCCAAACCCCTAAACCCCCCAAACCCTAAACCCTAAACCCGAAACCCGAAACCCTAAACCCAAACCCCTAAACCCCGAAAACCCTAAACCTTACACCCCTACACCCTGAACTACACTCTCGAGTTTGCACGGTGCCTAAGCCCCACTTAATAACTCTAAGGGTCCATGTGCCCAAATATTGTATACTCTGTCCCCAAAGTACTTATATAGGAACTACTTTAAGGCCAAAGTATCTACTACTTGGGTACATGGACCCTTAGGGTAAGTAAAGATGAGTTGTGAAGTCTCTACTTGGCGTTTTCTGGTTGGCTCTTAGGACTTTAACTTTTACCCTTACCCTCAAAGGCCTCATATTTTAAGGCTTTTGGGCCCAAAGACCCTATTATCTAAGGCTTTTGGGCTATTTTGATGCTGAGGGTTAGGGTCTCTATATTGGACTAGAATCTGTACGCTAAACGTTTAACTTTTGAGGAGGTGTTCAGAAGTGAGCCAAGATTACCTATACTATGTTTGGGGCCTCCTTTTTATAATTATAGTATAATGGGCCCCGGTCTAAGTTTCAGGAACCCTAAACCCTAAACCCTAAACCCTAAACCCTAAAACCTAAACCCTAAACCCTAAACCCTAAACCCTAAACCCTAAACCCTGTTGGTTATTGCACAAGGGGCTAGAGGCCTGAATACCACACTACGCGGCCTGGCGGCCCGTAGTCCAACGTGCTCTCCATGTACCCATGTTGTATATACTTAGGCGGTTTAGGGTTTAGGGT